CTAAGTCAGCAAAATAGACAAAAAGCTCTGTGTATTCGAGAGTCCAAATTGTGATACCTATAAATAGGTTCTGTCATGAGCTTTTATAGTTTTTTCCTGGCACAATCCTAGTAGGACTCTTATTCCTCAATGTAGAGTCCTTCTAGGAATCACACTCCTGAAAGATAATGCTTATCCTTCAACACCCTCACTGTTTTAACCAAGTGAAATAGTTTTACCTCGGTAGTATGACAAAGCAACCGGGCTAACATATGCTGATGTGGCAAGTTTCACCGAACTCTCCTTAGCTCGGTTCTACCTTGCTTTCCCTAGCTCGGTATCAACTTGTTTGCATAACGCAACTCCTCGTACCTTAGTTCAGAATACTCGAACCGAGCTAACTTCAGTCATCCATGACCGGGCCAACAGAGCCCAGTGGCAAAGCCCATTCTACTCAGCCCATAGCTCGGCTCGCTTCTTCCCAGTTCTAGCTCGGCCCAGACTTACGCTTTTTACCCTCTCACTAATAATTTTAATAATTTTTTCCTTATTCACAATGATATGACAATGATATAATAAATGTGTAATTTTGTAAATAAGATTTGTTTATTTGTACACTGTTAACAATACATAAGCTATTGTAAGATTTTTTGTTTTCATTTTTTCCTTTGCCCTAATCCTGGGAGCGTTTGCCAGTCAATTTGGGCAAAATCATCCACTAATCCATCTTTGATGGATTGAGAATTTTTGAACCAAGGTAAATTTACAAAACCAATAAATTAGTTGAATATTTTAATGAATTTAAACCAGCAGTATAAAGAGATTATATATATAAAATAAATAAATAAAGAATATTAATGACCATAAAACCTTTATATTTTTACAATTTCAAACAAAAAATTACTTATTTATTCAAATCCTCACACAAAATTTAATAATTTTAAACTAAAAATTAAGTATTTATTCCAAATTTCAATACAAAACTTATAAACTAATTGAATGTACAATGCTCATAATCACATTTCATAAATTAATATATAAAATAATCAAATTTTTAAAAAATTATGTGAGAGAAAATGAAAGATTACATGTGATTCACATTCATGTAATTGAGTTTGGATTTGTTAAAATAGAATATCTCAACTTTACAAATAAAGTTAACATTGTGAATCAATTTGTATCCATTTTTATTGTTTGAACGGTTTATCTCATACAACAGGCTAAAAAGAACATGCATACAAAAATTAAATTAATCAGATATAAATAATTACATGATCAAATAACATATATAATACAAAAAATGAAAGTTTTATTCTTAAAACATGTATGTCGTATAGATAAAAATGATTTTATAGTATGACAATCAATATTGGATCGATTTGATTTTTGTTTATAGATAATTTCTCAATTGGTTGTATGAGATGAACAGTTTAGTTCACCAAAATGAATCTCATTAATCTCATAATGGAACAACTTTATTGTGAAGTTGACATCTTCAATTTTAACAAATCTAAACTCAATGTAATTTTGCCCGCACTCGCACACACACATACACAGCTTCTCTTTAGTCCGAAGTCGAATTGGACAATACTGTTGGGCCGTAGTGGGCCCGATTCTAGGGCCATTTCTATAGCGATCCTAATTTTGCCTCTCTTTATTTATTGTATTCCGGACTCGGTTCCGTGGATGTGTTGTTGTCTCATTCTCATTTCCATCATTTACTTTTCGTATTTGAGTCTTGGGTTGTGCTGGGCAGGTTTGAAGCAGGTTGGTTGTACTTTGAAACAAAAGTAGTTGTCCAGAATTTGGCCTTCACGCTTGATCGGGGATTTTGACGCTCGAGCGGGCCCTTTGTTGTTGCTTCTCCGCTCGAGCGAGAGTTTTGACGCTCGAGCGTAAATTTCCATCTCCCAGTATTTTCCTTTGCAGTGTTTGACGCTCGAGCGGGCGTTTTGACGCTCGAGCGGGCGTTTCGACGCTCGAGCGTGAGTTTGTGTGTGACGCTCGAGCGGGGAGTTTTACGCTCGAGCGAAGACCTGGTTCTGCAAAAGTTCTGGAAGCGTGTATCCGGCGCTCGAGCGGGGGTTTGGACGCTCGAGCGTGAGTCTGTGTCTGACGCTCGAGCAGGGAGACGTGTATATCACTCTGAGATTTAGCTTTTTGGATCACTTTTTCAACTCCATTTCTCTCTCTTACTTTTCAAAACAGCCATTGGAGAGCTTCTTTCACTAAAACCTCCACTTCTCTCTAGGGTTTGATCTAGTTAGAGTAATCTCTCACCCTTTGGCCTTTGTAAAAAGTGTGTTGATCGTCGAGGGCTACATTTTGATCCGAGAATTTTGGGATTTTGAGCATCTCCGTTTTCTTCATCTCCTTCATTGGGTTTCATCTTTTGAGGTAGGGATTCCTACTCATCTTTATGGGTTTTAACCTAAATGTTGGGCTTTTGTATAAATGGTTTTGTTTTGGGACGTTAGGGTTTGAGATGTATAATGTTAAAAAAGGGGTGTTGTTTATTTGGCTCATACGTATGTGTTTTGGGTCTAAAAAGGAGATTATTGTAGTTGTTGATAATAATATATGGACCTTTGGGTCAATATTGAGAAGATGGGAAAAAATGCCACATTTGGGTATATATGGGTCATTAGTGTAATTAATGACATTTGTTATGAAATTGAGTTGGGACATTTATTATCTGTTTAGAAATAACTACTTTGGGCTATCGGTGGAGGATAGTCTTGATTGTTGTAGACACTGCATGATGATTAGGTAAATTGAAACTAATCAAGTTGTGCATTTGAATAGATGGGTGCCGAATCCCGCGGACGAAATTTTCGTAAAATGGTTGTATGAATATCTATACATAGGTGCCGAATCCCGCAGACGCAATTTCCGTAAAATGGCAATCCGAATATATCTATACATGGGTGCCAAGTCCCGCGGATGAAATATCCGTAAAATGGCCATAAAAGAATGAAAATACATGGGTGCCGAATCCCGCGGACGCAATTTCCGTAAAATGGCAGTTTGTAGTATTGTTGGTAGAGATGTAGTCTTATTTCAGTTCTTTGGCCAGGTTCTGAGCCATGTTTATAAGTTGAGTTTTGTCAAGCTAAACATTTATCAAGTGCTAATGTTTTAGTTATTGCTCATGTTATGTTTAGCATATCTTTACTGGGTATTGACTCACCCTATATGGGACATCATTTTCAGGTATAGGTAGCATGCCACCTCCAAGGACGTAGCTTGAGAGGCTTAGTGGTTGGGACATCTTTTGTGATTACATTTTTGTATTACATGTATATCAAGCCAAGGGCTTCTTTTGTGTAGAGTTAGTACTCTCTTTTTGTAACCAAGTGTTGACTTGGAAAGTTGTAAGCCTATAGGGCATTTACTTTTGTTGTTAACATTTTATACAATTTGTAATGAATACTCTGATGAAATGTGATTAGGCTTCATTCTATTATGTTTATGCATGTCCAGAATATATGATTTATGGGTTTTTTTTAAGGCGTTACAATTTCCATGATCCAAATCGTTCAATGTGTAAAACTCGTCGACTACATCATCCCTATAAAAAAAAATCGCATTGATCGGATGTTGATAGTCATTTGATCAAGTTACATTTGTTTCAATGACAATTATGATTTTAAAAATCAATCGAAAATACAAATGCAATCAATCACAGATACAAATGCAAGCTTATTAAATGGCTATTGATATTCGATTGATGTAATTTTTTCAAAGTGATATAGATTATCAAGATAAATTTAAAGTCAAACCCATTCCGACTCAATAATATCGTCTAATCCATAATTCATTTTCAAATCGGAGAAAAGCCACACCCTATATAAACATAAGTGGGGTCCGGTCAATTTGTAATAAAGCTGACAATTTTAACCTGCTTCGTAACCCAAATGATCCATCATTTTTTATCACCCAACTCGTTCACATTCTTAAGCTTTTAATTTAAAATAAGATTTACTCATCTAATGATTAAATGCATTTTTCTTTTTCTTTTTTCATTGTGAAAATGCATTAAAATTGAAAATATATATTCACACAACCAACCACATAGAGGTCCCATTTGACAAGAGAGTTGAAATTAAATTAGTTCATTAAAAGATAAAAGAAGTTAAAAGATTAATAAGATAAAATACTACATTTAAATCATAATTATATTATTTTTTCTGTCATAAAATTATAAAAAAATCAAAACCTCATCCTAATTGAAACTTTGTCAAGTTAAAATAATAAAAATAAAATAAAAATCAAACTAAAAATTTTTTCCCCAAACAAAGACAGAATAGTCATGATTATACATATCAAGGGATGAAACTCATCATAAAATATGTAACTTTACATCAATTATTGCACTTATATTTTATTCTCTAATATATAACTTTACATCAATTATTGCACTTATATTTTATTCTCTAATCGGTTTTGTGCCTGATTATACATATCAAGGGATGAAACTCATCATAAAATATATAACTTTACTTCAATTATTGCACTTATATTTTATTCTCTAATCCTTTTGTGCCTGCATAGAAAATAGTACGAGTACATATTTTTTAAAGTAAGAAGGGGATAATTTTAAATTTTAGAGTAGATTACAAATACATTTAATGAGGTTTGCATAAAATATGATTAGCCCCTTATAATTTTAAAAATTACATTTCGTTTTTTGAGATTTCTAATTTCATAATAAATAATTCATTTTATTAATAAATTATCAATTCAATTAATAGTTTTTATTGATGTCAGAAAAATATTTTAATTAATAATTTATATAATTTTATTATTGTATAAGATGGTAGTTATGAATTTTAATTTTTTAATTAATTCTATTAAATAAAAATTTTAGACAAAAGAATATTTATAATTTTTTAAATTAAAAAAAATAATTTATATTTTAATCAAATCTAAACAATATATTTAAAATTTATCTTAAATTTTAAATTTAAAAAGTCGAAGAAATAAACAAATTTGAGAACATGGATAATATACACATGGTAGACGCCTATATATAGAAATGGGAGAGGAAAACAAAGACATGAACGGAAGGAGATGGACTATCTGTCTTCATTACCGGAAGCTCTTGTATCAGAGATTCTTGTCTATTTGAAATCTCCTCGCGATGTCTGCCGATCATCGGCGATCTCATGGGGATTCAAGTCCGCCGCCGATTCCGATGCCGTCTGGGATAGATATCTACCGTCCGATTATCGGGAGATCATATCGAGGTCCGTATCACCGTTGGATTTCTCCTCCAAGAAACACCTCTATTTCCTCCTCGCCGACTCTCCCCTTCTCATCGACGGTGGCAAACTGGTAACCGAATCGCATCAATTCTTTTTTAATCAAGAGCAAATTACATAGTTCCTACATATCATTTTGATTCTTAAACTTTCAATTGACTCATAAGTAGGTGAGAAATGTTAAGAAATGATTACACTCCGTGTAGATGTTTACTTGTTTGGATGGTTAAGGAGGTGAAAAATGATGAGAGATGGTGATAATTTTTTTCTCACCAAACTTATGTTATGTTTCTCACACAAAGTGGTGAGATTTGATGAGAAAAGAATTAGATTTAATAATTTTTTTTTACAAAATATCATAATAACATTATGAAAAAATATAGCTCATAGAAGGTTATTTTGACAAAATAAAATATGAATCAGCATGCTTGGTCAAAAATACTTTTCAAAAACTTTTACTTTCGTATTTTCCTTGTTTTTTTGTTTTTATTGAATTTTTTTAATATTTTAAGTAATTTTTTTTTAATTTTTAGACATACCTAACTTAAATATACCTAAAAAATAAAAAAAATTGAAAAAAACATTTTAAAAATTCACTGAATGCCAAAAATACAAAAAAATATAAGAATTCAGTACATTTTTTTTTGTATTTTTATGTATTTATTAATTTTTAAAAATATTTTTTCATATTTTTTTTACTTTTTAGATACATCTAAGTGGTGCATCTAAAAAAGTAAAAAAAAAAATGTTTAAAATTTAAAAAATATTCAATAAAAACAAAAAAACACGAAAACCAAAAAATTCAGTTTTCAAAAAGCTTAATTCAAAACACTCAAACCAAACACATTTACTTTTTTTTTTTTCTTTTTTCTTATTTATTTTATCCAAATAAAATAAGTGCATCTCTTCTATTTATTCATATATAATGGTAAGAAATCATAATCAAATCATTTCTTTTCTTAGGTGAGAAATCACAATCAATTTTTTTTTTACCTCACCTCACCCTCCAAACGGAGTATCAATTTTTACTCTTAGTTTAAAATTTTATATGAGTTTAATCTAATTGATAAGTTGTTAGTATTTTTGAAAGAATGATCATTGAATTGGCCTAATTTTAACTATTAATTTTAGATTTTGTATCATTTTAGTCCAATTGAACGCTGTTAGTGTTTTTGACAAAAAAATGATGACTGAATTGGTTAGGCTTAACTATTTAAGTTGACTAAGTTTATAATTTTGTCACTAAGTTGAGGTTAATTCACGTATATGTGTATTTTCTATTACAAAATGCTAACATTTATAAATTCATATTGTGACAAGGTTATAAACTCATATTTTCTCTTACAAAATACTGACATTTGTAATCCAATTGGACAAAATCAAGTCACAATTATAAATTTAAGGTCAAACATGAAGCCAATTGAAATTACAATGACGAAAATAAAATAATGACCAAAATACCGAATTACTGAGTAATTTGCTCTTTAATCAATTTGTTTTTATATTTTTTGATTCGATATATATGTATTTATATATTGTAGGGGGTCAGAAATTAAGGTCCAAATTGAGTATGGGCCTAAGTTCTAAGGTTGCCCCTGTTAGGCGACCAAGAATGACTAAAGGAGCATGGGCTAAAGCCCAAGGGAAGTGGACCAATAGTGGGCCAAATTAGGTCCGACCCGCCAAAGATCCGAACAGACTCCATTAGAAAAAAAGTGTCTAAGTGAAGTTACAGAGGTATTACTTGCAACGGTCAAGTTGCTGAGGCACTTTGCCTCAGTGCCGCCATTTCTAGTATTGTCGGTTCTGCTGCCATTTGAAGTTATTGAGGGAAAGGGAAAGTCGGAGTAACTAAATTGCAGATGCAACATTTGTAGCGGCCAAGTTGCAGAGGTATTTTGTCAGTGCTGCCATCTCTAATATTGTCAAGACTGCCATTTGAACTTGTTGCGGGAAATGACTACCGCAACAATTACAACCGCCACAACTAACTTGCGGAGGGAACACCCCGCCAAGGTGATAGCAGCTTTTGGGAGAAGCTTCCCCTCCACAAGTAGAGGTTAATGCTTGGCGCAAATAGCAGGCCTCAAGACATTATTAGCCTAGGGTTGATAGCAGGCCCCCAAAGTCATTTTTAGCTCAGCGTTGATAGTAGACTCCGAAGCTCACTAGCTTGGTGCTGATGACAGACCCCATATCTTACTGGTTGGAGCCGATAACAGGCCCAAAGATACTAGTATGCCGCTGTGAGCCTGAGTGTAAGGGACTCCCTTTCCATTACCCAGGTCATGGACCTGCCTTAGTCGCCTAGGCAGGACTAAGGAAACCCCCTTGGGTTTGGTACTAAGGCACATCATGGCTGATAGCAGGCTTGACTGTGGCTTTCGCCTTGAGAATCTGGGGAGTTTGTGGTTAGGTGGCTAAGGGTGGAGGCTTTGTTGAGGTAAACATGAAAACATGGTTGATAACACGCTATGAAGTCCTGATAATGTATGTACTGGCTAAATAGAACTAGGAAGGCAAGTGCAGCAGCAATGTTTACCGCTACAAGTGCACTTGTTGAGGTTCGAGCTTTAGAAGATACGTGCAGCGGCAAACATTACTGCCGTAAGTGCATTTGTTGAGGCTCAAAAGGTAGTTGCGGCGCTAAACACTCTCGCCGCAAGTACACTTGCTAGGGCATCTGTGCCAAATAGATAGTACACAGTACATGCAGAGAGACGCGTGGCACTTTCAGCCTGGTGGCTCAAGGCAAAATATTCCATGTGATCCTTAGGGACACAAGTCTCCTCTCTATTTGGCCACTTCGTGTCCTCTTGGTACCAAGGAAAAGCCTATAAATAGGACCCATATCCCAAGGTCCAAAGAGAGGATTATTGGGAATTAAGGGGAGATGTTGCCCATTTGTACACTGCCATTCATTTCTTCTTGAGCTACTTGCTTCACTCTCAACTAGCTACTCATCATCTAGTCATTCTACCATTGTTGACATAGTTTTACCTCTCTAATCATTACTCACATCGAACCCTCCCTACATATATATATATATATATATTAGTGTGTTATGAAAATGGGAAATTTGAAATTTAAAATTAAAAAGTGAGACAATTGGCGAACAATTTGAGACCAAAAAATTGTGATTATATACATGCTAGAAGTGTTGGCACATATGTAGTGTGTGCGAGTAAAACAATTAGATTGACAATTACGAATTGAAACATTTATAGAGGGCCATAAATTGCTCCAAACAATTACCAACGCGAGTCGGGAGCATTTATGAATCTGAGAGATTTAAATGATAAAATCATAAAAAAAATTCAAAATTTAAGACTGCTCATGTAACTGCTATTGGGATATTTTAGGAAAACCAAAAACTGGGACATCAACACCAACTCAAGAGTTGGGTTTATAATAGTACTAAAAGTGGACACGCGATAGTTACATAAAAGAATTGGCTGTGAAGCAATTAACAGTTACATAGTGAAGGCAGTTAGAATGTAAACTGGAGAAATTTAGGTTATGGTTTGAGAGGAAGAAAGAGAGAAGAGAGAAAGAGACTGATAATAATATATGGTTTAGAGTTATTGAATTACTCTACACCAGTGAATATAATTATATAAAACCTGACATTACAAAATGACCAGAGTACTCTCAACTTAACTAAATAATAACATAAGGACATATAACTAATCTAACACTCCCCCTCAAGCTAGAGCATAAAGATCAAACATGCCCAGCTTGAAAGATAAGCGATGAAAAGAAGTCCGAGCCAAAGGTTTGGTGAGGATATCACCTAATTGATCTTCAAAACGAACATAAGAAGTCACAAGTTGGTTGCGTAGTAGGAGATCTCGAATGAAATGACAATCAACCTCAATATGTTTGGTACGCTCATGAAATACAGGATTATTTGCAATGACTATGACAGCCTGATTATCACAACACATACTCATAGGAGTAGAAATAGAAATACCAAAATCCTGTAGAAGAGAGTGAACCTATAACATCTCAGAGGCGGTATGAGCCATGGCACGGTACTTAGCCTCGGCACTAGAACGAGCAATAACTGTCTATTTCTTGCTATGCCAAGTAACAAGATTACCACCAACAAAGGTGCAATAGCTTGAGGTAGAACGTCTATCAGTCCTACTACCAGCCTAATTAACATCACTGAAGCCAGAGATAGGCAATAAGGAAGACACACGATAGAGCAAACCCCGACTTGGGCGATCTTCAAGTACTGCAAGATATGACGCATAGCATCAAAATGAGGTTGGTGAGGAGCATGCATAAACTGATTGACCACATCCACAACATAGGTAATATCCGGACAAGTGACAGTGGGATATGTCAACTTCCCAACCAACTGATGATAACAACTAAGATTCGAAAACAAGATCCCGGTTTCACCAAAAGTTTAACACATGAGTCCATGGGAGTATTACTAGGACGAGTGCCTAAAAGACCAGTTTCAATGAGAAGATCAAGGATATATTTCCGTTGTGAGAGAACAAACCCTGAGATGATCGAGCAACCTCAATCCCAAGAAAATACCGAATATAGCCCAAGTCCTTGGTGCGAAAGTGCTGACCTAAATACTACTTTAAATCAACAATACCAGTAGAGTTACTGCCAGAAATGATAAAGTCATCCACATAGCCACTACGTTACACGGACTCGGGTGCAGGCACCAGGTGCGGATACGTATCTAGGGATCGGACACTTCAAAACTAAAAATTGAGGATACGTGGATATGGATCCAAACGAGGATACAGGTACGGGGATACGTTAAATATTTAATTTTTAAAATATATTTATCATATAAAGATAAGTTAAATAGTTTTTTTTTAAATATATTTATTATTTTTATCTTATGTATTACTTTTATTGACAATTTTTTTAGTTTTTTTATATAATTTATTTTTTTACTTTTAATTGATATATATTATAAATAACAAAAATATAATAACTAAGGAATAACAAATTATGTTAAAATAAATTATATTATATTATATATTATTTAATAACAAAAATAACAAATTGACATATATATATATTTATATTATTTATGAT